TTCGTCTTCATAAGACACTTCCTTTTTTCCATTACAAAATACTTTTAAGAATAGGAACATTTATAAATTCATCTCTATTTGACATCATATAAAATAGAACTAATATTCATATTCAATTCTAGGCTTTTTACATGGAATATGTTACAATATGTACAGTGACATTTCACTACATTTTGTCAAACCGGCCTACTTTTTAAAACTTTTTTTTTTACCTTCCAGGCTATAGCTTATATGTACAAATATGCTAAAAGTGCAAGACTTAGATTAAAGCTGCCTGTGTTTGCCGAGGTTGGGGATTGCTTGGCCTGTCAGACATGTGCCCTGGAAAGCCTCGCACTGCACCCCTTCTGCTGTAAGCGTCTCAGCTCATCTGGAGCCGGCTCCCTCGGTCGGGCATAGTCAGTAGCGATCCCCCAGCCGGTGGGGAGAACGTGTTTGCCACCACAAGCATCCTCTTGAGTATCCAACCCCAGCTACACTCGCTTCCTAACACTTTACAGAAATACCGGGTGTAGCTACCAGAGGTAATGAATCCAAATGACCCTGAAGAGAGTGGCTCTTTATTCATGCAATTTTTTTTTTGGAGAGAGAAGGGTGGGGGCCACATCCCAAGGTCCTGATTTATCACATGCCCAGACCCAGCACCCTGGGAGTCAGTGGGAGGCTGCTTGAGTAAGGAACCATGCAGTAACGGAGTAAAACCTGAGAAGGGACTGCAAGGGCCGGCCCTCCGGTGATTGTCTGAAAGGGCTGGCTCCTACAGGCGAGGCACTTGCTGCCTGTGCCTCCCTCCCAAGCCAGGGTTGTGCCCAGTTGCTGGGTGTTTGACTGAGGGTACTACCATGCAATGGCACGAAGCTGAAGGGTGCTTGTTCTTCCATAATAAAGTGCATGTCTTCAGCAAGGCCAATCCAAAAAAGGGGCTGTGGTTTCCCTTCTCCAGCAACCCTCATTCTAGGACTGCCATTCCCTGCCGCTTTCCCTGCACCCTTGCACTGCCTCAACACAGGTAGCTCCATTGACAGCCCCATCCGCTACAGCTGCACCCAGTGGCAGGGGACACAGCACACAGCTGTGATGCCAGCCTTGGGTGCACAGTTCTCCCAAGCAGTGCTCAAAAAACAGGCAGCTGTCTTTACTTTGTCCAGCTATTCTGCAAATGCCTTAACTGAAGACAGCCAGAGCCCTCTTTGTGCCCCTTTTCCACTCACTGTAAAGCTACAAGTGCCTCGCCATGGCCGTGGCAGCTGATGCAGGGGGCTTGAGCCAGGCCAGAGACGAGACCTTCCCCGCAGCCACCAGGTGTAAAGTTAGAAGGCGGGAGTCTCTTCCTAAGAGGAGAGTCTGCACAATGCCTTTGCCTTCCTCTTATTCTGCTAAAACAAGGCTGTGTTTGTGGGGGGGAGAATGCAAAGCAAAGGGACAAAGCATATGTAGAAGAAAGTGGAGGAAGGGGATTTGGCTGTGGCAGACGATCCCCTGATCCTCCAGGCACCCCCTCCCTCCACCTGAGTGCTGCGGGACGTGGGAGCCCATCTTGGCACAAGCCTGTTGCAGCAGCCCGCTGCTTGGTTCAAGCCTAGATAGGACTGAAAAGCAGCTCCGTGAGGGTCCAGCTTTGGCAGGGTGCTGGCGGGAGGAAGAAGAGGGGGAAGTTACAAGTGGAAGTGTGGAGGGGTGGACCGGAGAAGGGGGAATTCCCAGTGCCCAGTTCATGACTCACTCATTTCAGGAAGAGGAAGAAAGGAGGAAAGCCCAGGCCCCAGGAGCATTGCTATGGTGCTGCACGGGCACCAGGGTCAGGCCCCGCTGGCCTGGACCCCAGCTGTTGTGCTATGGCAGGTGTGCGCTGGTTCCCCACAGCTGACGGGCATGCCAGGCGCACGCTGCCCCAACGGCCAAGACAAACCCACTGCTGGAACAGGCACGTAAGGCCTCATAGCCCTACCCCAGCGAATGGCAAAAGCGGGGGACGGGGACGGGGAGACTAGTGTTTGCTCTGATGTGCACAGGGTGGAAAACCTGTGCTGCTGCCGTTCCCAGACAAGACCCCTCATGCTGCTGTCCTCTGGAGCGACGTGGGCAGGAGCAGGAGGCGCGGACTGTGCCCCAGCCACAGGAGGAAGGGGCTGCGCTGGTGACTTTCACCCCCTGAGCCAGTGACAGCAGCAGCACAGGGGTGACGCACACAAACCACTTCTTCTCCCTCTGCGCCTTCCCTTTCTACCCTCTGTGGTTACTGAACACTAGCAGTGCCCCAAGCAAACGCCTCCACGGGGGTGCAGACAAAGCCAGCGGCTCGCACCTAGGACCATGAGGAGGCAGCTGCACCATGGCCTAAGCACGGGTCAGCTGCTTTTCCAGTACGGCACATGATGGCCTCAATGTAACCACCAGCCAAAGGGGTCAGCAGTTGGGTGGTGGGGAGAGGGGGCAGTTTGCACGCCAGGAGTTAGCCCTGTTCAGGGATGAGGCCAAAAGCAGCTTGATGCTTGAGGCTGTGGATGGTCTCTGTCCGGCACCAAAGAGAGCGCAAAGTGGCACTAAGCTGAGCACCCGGCCCCCGCCCCACCCCACCTGCTGCCAGCCTCGTCCCTCCACCCTGGCACAAGCCCTGCACTGGTAACACACGTGTGTGCTAGCTAGTCGGCAAGCTTCACACCACAGTGCCAGCCTGACCAGCAGGTGCGACAGGGCTAGAGGACGACATTAGCAGCAGGGTGCGCGTGCACTCGCTCGCTCGCAATATAATAGAAGGCTTTGTCTGTCTGCCTGGCTGTAACACTTTTGC